GAAGTTTCTCACATATCCTAGCAATCCGTCCGGGAGTTGATGATCCGTTCTTTTTACTTTAGGTTGGTAGTTTGGCATTTTCTTCCGTGGACACATCACACTAAAAGGAATGCGATTCTTTTTTCCGAAAATTGTTTCAGCTGGGGAGAGGCTTGATTAGAATGTGTCCTGTATGCTCTCAAGATATTCTGGATGACCTCCGCTGCGCCCTACCTTTGCGACTTGAACAGAATGCGCTTAAAATTACGGTCAAAATGTCCAGCTTGGCCGTTTGACTGAGAGTGGTAGGGTGCGAATCGAATGTGTGTGTATAACTGCTTTCTTTAAATAGAATTTCGAGGAGATTTCCAATGTATACAGTGGGCCTATTGTTTGTAACTAGTGTTTACGAAAATCCAAATGAGCTGAAAAGTTGATTCAGCATAATAATTATTGTTGGTGTCGATGAGGTTTAGGGCATGAAATTCAATTTCTAACCATTACCTAAATGAATGAACACAAGACTATGGCTTTCTAGTATTTGGCCATGAGAATGACTGTAATTTTAGCGACAGCTTTGCTGCTTGAGCATATTGTGGGCATTCCTATATTGCCTTACTTGTCAGTAGTCAATACACGTGGCCGCATGCCAGTGACCTCATGTGCTGCAGCACACCAGAGTGATTTGGGTGGAGTTGTCTTAATGCTTAACATGGCTGCAGTAACTAGACGTTCGCCAAACAGCTGACATGAATTAAAAATCGTCAATGTGCCACACACATCGGAAATATTCACCACATCTAATGCATTTTTGTATAACAAAGCCGGATAAAAGAGCAGAGTTGAGCACAATGTTAATGACCCCATCTAGCTCACATAAAGAACGCTAACCAGAAAAAAGAATTCGTTGGTCAGCGGTCTCTGTTACCCTAACGGTAATAGGCGTAAGTAAGTAAGTGGCATCTAGTTTTGGTCTCAGTCGTGTCACAGTTTTCATGCTCAGGCTAATCAGATGTTGTTTTCAAGTCTTTAGTCTGATTTATGATAATTTTCTTAGTGTTCAAGTTAAAACAGTAGCTAACAACTGTCTGTAATAGTGTAAAAAATATGCCCGTCAACGATTTTTTCAACCGCTACCAAGCATTATTCATGTTATAATGTACAGTGTCTGAGATCCGAACGTAATACATGTTGACCCACTCAAATTGGCTACTTCAGCAAGAAGCCAAGACTGGAATAGAAAGTTGATTTGACTAACGAACAGTATACATAAATATTCATTTATATATAAATAGATCCATCCTCCTTAGAAAATGAATCCATTTATTGACCAATAATATGTATTCGTCCTTTAGAACATTTTGAAATGTCATCAAATAACCTTCCCGTTTGGCCACACCTGATTGGCTATCTACAATTGATATATTGATTTATTGGATTCGAATATATACGTACATATATTTTCTAATTCACGTGATTTCTTTGATAGTAGACAATTTGAATTCTCTGTCTTATTATTGATTTTATGATAAAGTATTTGTCAATTTATTTAAAATTAAAGAGCTAAATTTAAATCAGACAGTCACTCAGCCAGTTCCAACGTAGAACATACGTACATCAGTTCAAGTTGTTAAATCACATTGAAACAAAGAGATAGAATTATCAATTCAAATCCTCCTATAACAAACAGCAGTATTAGCAGTAATTGGAAAGATTGGAGATTGAAGAATTAGTTCGGGAAGTGTATTATAGTCCAGTGTAATAAATTTAAAAAGGAGGAAAAAAACGGTCTCAGGGTGCTGCGTACAAATGTGATGAATTGAACATTCGTTGCGTATCGACAACGAAAGTACAATGAATGAATGATGAGATGCGCTACAAGGGAATCCGGAAGAGTAGAATTTAACAGAAGACAAACAATGGATGCATCTACGCCATTGAAAACGATTTTGAGCCATGTCATTCAAGGTTTCTAACCACCGGTTACTATCATCTCGTGCACCTCAATCTGGTAGTCTACATCTACCTACATGGCTCAGTTCAATTGTCAGTGAATTCATGGATTTGTGTCATGTTTTGGTTTGGCCACCTCTAGACTTCCTCCAGTCTACCCCTACATCAGACAAAATAGCCTGTCGAGGGAGTCGGTGATTAGCACTTTAACTGATGAAGATTCACTATTGCGTCAATTATGTAGCCATCGTTACCTAGCAACCGTTTCCAAACACCAACATTGCTTACTCGATGGTTCCAGGATATATAGAAGCGACAATTCTAAGACACCGGTGATTGAATAATAGTGTGACCTACGAATATGCCCTACTCCTAATGGCCATGTTTCACACCTCTATACAGTGGGAATGAACGAATTGCTGCGCAGTAAACTCATCGTTTAGTTAGCAGACGGATATCTCACCTACGATGTAAGTTTGCAAAAGCTAGTTGAGCCTTGTTTATCTGTGTTGATATATCGCGTCACACAACAGGCCATAAAGGCTGGTGCGAAGGCCGAGACAAGTAAATCAATGCCAACAATACAAGCCAATCCTGAAGCAACATTTTACATTTGGATGAGAAGAGTCTCAACATGAAAGTCAGACAATGAAAGTAACTGACATCGGTAAAAGCATTTTTCATTGAAAAATTTAAATGAAATGTCAAATTAAAGCACAAACCTCTGTTAATTTGATTAATCCTGATGATGAACTGGTTTTTTCTTTCTGAAAATTAAAATGTCAATTATTAGTTAGTTAAATTGTATATAACAGAATTTATAGAATTCAAAGTTAATATTATTGACTAGTGAATAATTTTATGTGTTGACAGAACTCCTCTGTTGACCAACTTACAGTCGCTTTAAATATGTTGAATGTTATCAACTAACTCCAATCACTCAATCTTTGACATTCTTTGATTGGATTGCCTGTTTGAAATAAGTTAGACTATTTATTATTACCTTTGGTAGCCAGCCGGCTCGGAGGTCTAAAGGTTAAGTGTTTTTGCGAGCGAGAAAGAAGGTCCTCAGTCCGATCCCCGTGATCAGCGGTTGTGCATTTCGCACTGTTGCTGAGTCTCATACAAAACAGCCATCCAATGCTCCCAGGTTTCTAATTGTGGTTTAATATAGATTGGTTCAGGATATCAACGAAGCTCAACAGTCTCAAAAACCCTGCAGCGAAAATATTTAAAATTAATTTTTAGGCATACTTTACGAGTTGTTTTTTTTGTATGAAAGGGTTGTGGAGATTTTTGAGTTACTTTTTGAAATCGTGAATTGATTAATTAGATCGCCATTAGAAAATTGGAAGCACTGGACTTACCAGCGGTACACGCCTACGAGTCTCACTAACCGCAGGATTCGAACCTAGGATCTTCAGTCTTATGCTCGAACGCCTAACCTCTGGACAGTTGAGCCGGTATCTAACGGCTTTAATGTCTAGCTTCGATCAGACCACACGTTTTGTATCAAGCAGACACTTTTATTTGACTTCCTTATCAATCTTTATTGGTCGATAGATAGCAAAGTGAAATATTCCATATCATATTCACAAAGACCTATGAAATTATCGGGCCAAATC